GATTAATATCGTGACAATGAGCAATTCTCAGTCACCAGCGAGTAACGTCATCTGCAAAATACACATTAACACCGCTAAAAGTCGGATGCGACATAGCTCCACTAAAATCACTCAACTTGCCTCCTTCCCCTTTGAAAAACACACAGTCGCCCTTTTAAAAATGATTACGAAACAATTGAATACTCGGGTATAAAGTCGAGGCCGGAAAGCACGTTTGATACAGGAAGTTGAATGACCTTCAATAAACTGCAGCCGTGATATCAAGTGATCAGTGTCGCAATTTCTGGATATTTTATACATGTGACTGAGTAACGTTGAGAAAAACCACATACAACAGAAGCATTTTGTAATATTAAGCAAACTTTGAATACTTCATTCCCCACGAAAAACCAGATCTAAGATACAGACGATGTATATGGATTCAAAATGCGTCAACAGAGACTATGCATCTGTAATGTATCGAATACGTACCTCAGCTCAGAGCTTCCCTTCAGCTGATCAGAAAGAAAACTATGATTCGGATGGTCTCAGATGACTTGCTAGCCTATGGAGAACAGATTACAGCAATTGCACGAGTCGTTGAGAAACATGGGAAAAGACTGAGTTTCTGAATCGACCAGGCCGTTACCGTGTATAGAAAATGACTAAAAGCGAAACCAAAAGTTAAATTACAAATAATCAAATAGGGAATTTTCCCTCATTCCATAAAAGATCAGCGTAATTGTCTCGTGACCTCATAATATTAATCTGGCTTGTGCACGTGAGCAATAGTATAAGAGAAAGGATTCCAAAAGTTGCCTGTATGTTACTTACTTGATTACTTGGTATTTTTTGTTAGTTTTTCATCTTTGATTACGAAAATAACTTTATTGCGCAAGTATTTAAACACCAAATGACTATCAGCTATGTCAATCTGTGACACATCCTGTCTAGTTCTCCTTGCTCTCCCTTACCCCACCCTGCTCAGAAGAGCTGTAAAGAAAGTTTCCTCCTAGGCTACTTCGCGAATATCACAAAAACCCCTACAACAGCGGAAGTCTATCACAGTTTACTGTTCTCGTTCAGACATTTTCTTTTTCACTCTCGATTACTTTTAAGGATTAATATCGTGACAATGAACAATTCTCAGTCACCAGTGAGTAACGTCATCAACAAAACACACATTAAAACCGCTAAAAGTCAGATACGACATAGTTCCAGTAAGATCACCTAACTTGCCTCCTTCCCCTTTGAAAAACACACAGTCGCCCTTTTAAAAATGAGTACGAAATAAGTAAATATTCGAGTATAAAGTTGAGGTCGGAAAGCACGTTTGATACGGGAAGTTGAATGACCTTCAATAAACTTCAGTGATATCAAGTAATCAGTGTCTCAATTCTGATATTTTATACATGTTACTGAGTAACGTTGAGAAAAAAGACATACAACAGTAGCATTTTGAAATATTAAGCAAAATTTGAATACTTCATTCCCCACGAAAAACCAGATGTAAAATACAGACAATGCATATGGATTCAAAATACGTCAACAAAAATAGCCTGCGAACAGGCTCCCAATGGGGCAACCCGAAAACACTGACCCCCGGTCCGCGGATCCCCACTACGGGCTGGGTCCGCGGACTACCTATGGACCGGTCCGCGGACTACCCCTAAGGATCTCCTCTACAGACCACCCCCCAAAATAGAATAAAAATAAGAAATAAGTACTTCACCAATGGGTTGTCTTACAGATTGTGTCGGCGAAATTTTGAGTATTACACTGTGCAAATGTAATGAACACCCCACTCACTCTCCAGGTCCCCCACCAAAAAAAAAAGCTTACAAGCTGTTTTCAGCGCAAGGAGATGCCGATGGCAAAAAGAAGGAAAATTGCTACCCTCCATTCGTGGTTCAATCTCGCCATGGAAGATGTGTTGTTAGGTCGTTCGAGCTTGCTTGTATCTGTAGCCTAGAACGAGCTCACGAATACACAGGAGACTGGGCTGATCAAAATGGTGGAGGGGAAGGAATACAAATTTCGAGGCTTCCCGGAGGCTTCCTGGAGGCCCGGGCCTGGAGGCGTTTACGGTCTTTCATATGCAGTATGGCTACATCAAAAGAAATGGCAACGTATAATGATATAACTTGCACCCGAGGCTGAAACCAAGAATGTCACATTTGCAAAATCTAACGTTCGAAATTTCGGCTACCCGATCTTTTAGACCAACCTCGCTCCCAGGGTCTCTCATCTTACCGCCCCCTGGAGCGAGCGAAGAGAGACCCTGGTTGGGTCTGGTCACGTGCCACTTTGACAGTTGAGAACATCAGGGAGGGGTCCTCNCAACCAGGGTCTCTCTTCGCTCGCTTCAGGGGGCGGTAAGATGAGAGACCCTGGGAACGAGGTTGCTTTTAGACAACCCACAACTGAAATATTTACTTCTTATTTTTATATTATTTTGGGGGTGGTCCACAGAGGGGGTCCGTACGGGTAGTCCATGGACCGGTCCATAGGTAGTCACTACCCGGTCCGTAGTGGGGTCCGCGGACCGGGGGTCAGTGCGGTATTCACACTTATGCAAATTTTGCATTAAAGTGAGACAGTACTATATAAAAAAAATTGTGCGAAGACCTTTATTCTGTAATGCAAAATGTGATAACATTATAGTTTCATACATATAAAAAATTTAGTGCGAGGAAGTCTTCGTCCTGTCCAGTTCTCTGTAAAAGTATAGTTTTGTCGCCCTGTCCAGTTCTCTGTAAAAATATGGTTTTGATACACATAAAAAATTTAATGCGAAGAAGTCTTCCCCCATGCCCATTCTCTGTAATAGCATTTCAGTTTTCATACATATCAAAGATTTAGTGCGAAGAAGTCTTCGCCCTGTCCAGTTCTCTATAATAAAAAAA